GTCCATCCAGCCTCCTACCCAGTGGATATCAGGGGAAATTTTCCAGGGAGAAAGCGACGGAGCGTGAAGCCGACTACTCGCCTCCATTTAGACCCCATTCATTTCGAAAGAGTGGAAAGACACAGCTTTCCACAGTTGGCATTCCGTTACCGAGAGAGGGACAACGACACTTAGAACGACCGGAAAGACGATGAAGACACTAAGATCATCTTGAGACTATTAGTAACAGGCTGAAACTATCTAACACTACATTCAGAGTTACTGGGTTTTTCGGAATTTGCCCATCGTCCAGTATTCTCGAAAATCGTAAACACAGCGTTTCGGAAACTGGACCTGTTTCCGTCCCCTGGTGAGAGGGGAGACACCAACTCTGTTGGGTCCCATCTAAAGAGCTAATCTCAATAACTCCCTCCTTCACCTGAGGAAGGAAACAGATCGAGTTTCCGAAACGTCGCGTTTTCTAATTTCTAGAATACCGGAAGATGGACAAAAGCTAAACAACCAGTAATTCTGAGTATTACACAACATCGTCAGAACCCTTTGGCATCTAACACTATATTATTTATGTGGTACAAGACTGCATTTTCTGTCTTGTGTTACTTTATCGCTCCTAAATGCATCAGTGGATCAACGTCACGGCCTCTTGTATCCCGACCAGCTGGATCCCGACACTACTGCGCCTGTGCCAGGCTGGTACTGCCACCCACGATCGAACTGTTCCTGGTGGATTGACAAATCCGTTGTCTGACCTGCACCGGACAAAAATTATAAAGCACCTACACGTATAATAACACAAACACAGACATCTATGCCTTGTGTGGGATTCGAAACAACGACCCCAGTGTTTGAGTGGGCGAGTGGTCTTAGACCGCGCGGCCACTGTGATCGGTCCTCGCCTTTTACGGAAACCGAAGATTCAGAAGTGTTCGATCCGTCCTTCTTATTACGCGTCCGATCACATAAGCTCTATTTAGTAATCTGGATTCCAGTTACTTCATGTACTTCATGTACTGTGAAAAACAATTACGTAAATTTACGTCAGACACCAGAGCCTGCGGCGGGTAATGCAACTGAGGGGAAGTGTTCGAGTGAAGATTACGCAGAATATCGCTTACTGAAACTGCTCGCGCATGATGAAGATCCTCAGGTTCTTGTGACTGATCTCCCTTGTCACATCCCGCTCGGTAACTAGCGCTTAGAATATCCTGACTCACAACTGCAGTGATTTTGCAGCGCCAGGTCAAATTCTGGTATAATCCGTTAAACAGGACGGCAGTTTAGAAACACAAAATGTCAAGAGGTGGTAGCATGTTGCCTTCTAGCAGCCATGTCTGTCCGTATGGTAATACACGTGTATACCTGAATCAGAAAGGTTAAGGAGACCCCTAGGAGGAGGTAGGTGTAGATGGGAGGATAATATTGAAACTGATCGTACAGAATTAAGAGAGGGCGTAAGAAGAATGCCGTCTTCGGGATGTGGTACCATGTAAATCTTGTGTGAACTGACGTTTCAGAGGAACGTATTGCCTACATCTTCAGGGTGGAAAAATCCACGAGCGAGCTGCAGCCACCTGCTCAAGCTGGTTCCTCGCTCGCGTGTTTTGTACCCTGAAGATGGAGGCGATACGTTCCTCCGAAACGTCGGTTCACATAAGATCTACTGGGCGCCACATCTCGAAGACGGTATTCTTAATAGTCACCGCTGTGGAAACCTCAAATCTTACAAGACGGGGTGTAGACTGGAGTCGTTGGGCTCAGCAGTAGTGGACCCTTGTGAAGAGGGTAATGCACTTTCGGGTTCCATAAAATGTTGGGAAATTTTTCAGTAGCTGCGCGAATATTGAAGGACTCAGCTCCGTGGAATTCGTTACTTAGCGATAATAACGGATTCAAAGTCACGTTCACTCAAATCGTTTTCTTAAATTCGTCATATAATCAATATTGAAACAACAAAGATCAGAAACAAAACTGTTGGTATAACTATGAAATCATATAACTAAATCCTCGCCTCTCAAACTTTTCTCTTCTTCCTGTTGCTCCCACTTGGAATACAGGGCATCAGTGGAACGCTTCGTTTCATTTCAGTTTCTTAATTTAAGACAGTCACTAGGATACCTCGGTGTGGGGATCAGCCCGTCGCAAGCCGCCACCTAACACAAACACAGAATAAACACAAAGAGACATCCATAACTTAAGTGGGATTCGAACCCACGATTCCAGTGATGGAGCGGAAAAGACATTTCATGCCTTAGACCGCGCGGCCACTGCGATCGGTGCCTCTCTACTTGAATAATTAAAATGTGTACCATTGCTATAACCAAAACATATCTACTACACAAAGTCAGTTTAAACCAACTAACATCCTCACATTTTGCTTCCCTGACATCCATTTCTGCATTATCTCTCTCTACCTGTTCTGTGACCGAGTTTTGTAGTTATTTACTGCGGAAAAGCCACAAGTAGTTGGTTTACATACTCACAGATGGTGGGCGAGGGTCCTTTCAACGATGTTATCAGCAGATAACATGGATAAGTAATTTAAACGATATACCTCCTACGCTTTATGGAAAGGTTGAAATAATTCAATAAATATCATTAACAGTAAAACAAAATCCTACCCTCCGTGAGTGGACCTGAAATCTTACGACAGATGTGTGGGTTGCAGTACAGTAACGTAAATAACACACATAAACTCTGCAGTTCCGCGTGGAGCAATGAAGTCTCTAGGTTTGAGGAATAATGCTCATGGAAGCCCATGTAAGGGTAACGCAAACCGCTTGCCTCCCTGCAAGGCATACCAGGAAGTACCGTCAAGCTTCATGCTTATTCCTACTATTAGACGTCACTCAAGAAGAACGAGAGGTACAGTTGTTTTGCTTCCGAGTTACAGAACTGGCCATCAACACCGTAAGGAATTTTGTAAAAATCCTTCCAATGGTTCAGAAGTTATTGGTGGAGAAACAGACAATTATATGTATACAGACGGACACGATGAAATAATAAGCCTGTCTTTCCCTTGGAAATAATGGAAATTCTCTCAAAATTGTAGCAGGCCTATATCTGTTTCAATTGTGTCTTTGCATTCTGTATAACTCATAGTTTCTTCCGTTAAATTACTTGTAGATCTTACAAATTCATTGCTCCAGTCATAATTAATTTATTCATACGTACTAAAGGTAAATCTGTCGCTGTACCAGGCCGTGGAGGCCCATAGGGTTGTGAGACGTCGAGGTTCCCACATTTTCTCTAGACAATCGGCTCACAGATGGCCGTAAGGCTGTCAGCCTTACGTGCCGGCCGCCCTTTACCCCGAGGAAGATTCCTGGTACTCATTTCTGTTAGAGGCTGAGTCGACCCCAGGGCCATAGTGCGGCTGGAATGATTTGTACTGCGTAATCAAATCATTTTGCTTGTATTTGAATAACCGTGTTTCACCATATCTTAGGACATTTAAATCGAAATGTAATTTTAGTTATGTATAATGTACACTCTAAAATGTATGGTACGTACAATTTTTTATCCTCAGCATAAAATATAAAAATAAGTAGGAATGAAACTACTCTATGAAATTTTCTTGGCAGAACATTTTAGAATTTAATCTCAGCTTCGTGTAAATTAGAGGCTATGTTGGACGATGAGGACCAAAATAAATATCGCTTGGAAGTTTTACTGCATGTCGCAAATACAAAATTTTTAGACATCAGTTTATTAATTTGATTTGCTTCATCCTGGTCCGTCACACTACAGGATTATAAAAGGTTAAATAATTCCGTCCAGTGTGACCGATGAAGATTTTTCCCCTTTAATCTTTTATCCTTTATATGCTTCGGTCTTATGCCATCTTCAGAAGGATATCAATACAATTAGAAACCATTACTACAATATGTATTATTGACAATACTATTAGAATGAATTATGATGATATGGTATATATATTAATATTCACAAAACATATTGTAATAGTGGTTTCTAATTGTATTGATATCCTTCTGAAGATGGTATAAGACCGAAACATATAAAGGATAAAAGATTAAAAGGGAAAAATCTTCATCGGTCACACTGGACGGAACTGATTATCCTTTTATAACCAGTACATCAGGTTCGATATTGAAAAACTGACGGACGCGCAGACACGGCGCCAGAGTTCGTTAACTTCAGCCAGTTTAAAATAAAATAAGATTAAAATAGGTTGAAAATTTCAATAAATTTTATCATTTAATTTATTAGCGGATCACCCATACAATCTCTGCTGTGCTCTGTTAGTTGCTACCCCACATAAACATTATGTTGTGATGTCCTACGTGTGATTTTTACTAGGCCGACTGTTCTGGGGGGGGGGCTTCCATTTCCTCACTCGAAGTCCCAGTAACTTCAAATGGCATCTAACTAGGAACTTTCGATTAAGGAATAGTTTCCACATTCAGCTTTGCAATGAGCATTACTGCAAGAGTGAGCTAAGTTATGATTTCTTACTCAATATATCTACCGAACTCTTGTTATTGCTTCCGTGATAAATTTCCTATTCTGTAGCTACTTCAGCTCATCACAAGTCTCTTCGTGTGTATTCCATAATTATTCACGCCATATTTTATAGCATCATTTTGATATTCATGCTGTATGTTGCCTTCGTCACAGCGAACCACTAAATTAACTAAAGTCCTGAACAGAGAGAGAAATAGAAAGTCTGGTTTTACACGAACGCATGGAGGTGAATAACCTATCAGTTTGTTGGCAGTGTCAAGGTTCGACACAAGTGTATAAGTGAGACAGAGACAAATACATAGAACCATCATTTAGGCAAAGCAAGACAGAAAATTTACCACTTCATGTTACAATGCAAGGAGTGACAAGGGAGAGCTGAATAGAGCAAGTTTATGGTAAAGAGAGAGACGGTTAACTGATTATAGTTAAACTAAAAGAGAGAACAGTAGTAAAGAGGGGTGTTCGAAGAAGACTCATCCCCTCCCCCTTACCATCCCTGTGTTTTTTTTTTCTTCAAGAGGAAGACAGAACGGGTTTTATAAGGCATTGACTGGTGTACCTGATGTAACATAGTAACATCTTCACCAAAGCTCGCTGGATCATCCTCTGGACTCAAGGCTGTTCGTTCACACGCAAGAAACGTCGTTACCGCTGGAATCCAGGAAGACACTGACGTCTGTTAGAATGGGTGTCTGCACTAAGGTAAGAGAATATTAATGCGTCATATCGATTTATACACTTATATGGATTGCTCATGTACAATATTAGTAGCATCGTTGGGATATTTTCTCATTTACTATTGTGTGACTGGAAATAGTGTGAAAGGAAGAAATCATAGCCCATTTTAAGATGCCGGTATTACCCCGGAATTCTTCTGGAGAAACTGAGGAGAACAACGAGAAATCTTATTCAGGATAACTGATATTCGCGGCTATATCTGAAACCGGAACTTCAAGGACATGAAGCACAAGTCTTAGGCTCTCATTAACAATGTTTGATAGGGAGGAAGCTAATGACAACTAGCAATTCGTATAACATCGTACATGCTCAGTTAATAAATGAGGTAAATTACATACATTTCATCTTTAGCTGAATACTGCATTCTCCATCACTACTCAGTAAGTCTATGATGTCCATCACAGTAACAGTTGCGTTAATTTTTATTAACAATTGAAACAGATTCAAGATATTAATTATATTTCAATAAAAAGTGGCTCCTAAACAAGAACACATAAAGCTACGGTCAAATGGGTATCAATTGCTGCTTCATGCTCTGAGGTTCCCAAGTTCGATTCTCTATCCTGAAGCCGGATACTACAACTTTATATTGATTCCAGGAAAACTGGGACTCCATTAACGCCCCATTTCATGCACTTCCAAAGTCGGGGTTCACCATTACATAACATTTGATAATAAGTGGCGTTAATCAATCAGTAAATAAATAAAACAAAAGTTCATACATTAATCGAAATTAATCATGAAGAATAATATTTTACTGTTCGACACCATATAACCAGTGTAGTTAAAAGAACGTTGTTAAATAAACCAGGAACAAGAAAGTAAACAGAAGAAAGCACTATATGACAATGAGTGAACATAGATCCATCTGGATTTTGCAATGAATGGATAGCTATTTCCGCAGTCGGCAACAGAGCACCTGGTGGTCGTCCATAGTTTTTTTAATTCGCTTAGTGGGGGGTGGATTCCAACTGGGTCCACTCGGCACAGCGGCCACTGATTGGCCTATTGTAGCCTGCCCCGGGTGATTATGATGATGGAGAATTTGGTGGAATAAAGATTGGCAGGGGAAACCGAAGTACTCGGAGGAAACCCGCCCCAGCGCCACTTTGTCCACCATAAATCCCACTTGACCAGACCCGGGATTGAACCCGGTCCGCGGCGGCCTTGTCCATACTTTACTGAATGAGTTTTCCCGGCTGAAAATGAAATTAACCTATGTAACGTCGCTTCTGGCAATAATTTCACACTAAGATTGAGTTGTCATTTGCAGCGTTTCCATACACGTGGTATTCCAAATGTAAATAGAACAAGCCTATTCCACTTTCCTTGTGGCAAACATGTGATAGATTTTAGGAGGGGTGAAGGAAATTGCATGATACTGCTCTAGCAAAAAGGTTCTCAAAATTGTTGCAACTGGAACCCCATAAAACAGTTAAACAATTATATGAACCACAAATAATGAATAATCTGGAAAATGCAAGGCTTAATTTTAATTCTCTTATAATGTAACTGAGGAGACGGGATAGCTCAGACGGTATAGCAGTGTGCTACACGCTGGACGGTCGGAGTTCGATTCCCGGAACGGGCAAGTTTTTTCTTTGCTCTACAGCGTTCAGATCGCTCTGGGGCCCACATAGCCTCCCCTTCTATGGATACTGCATCTCTTTCCTTTGGGGTGAATAGGCCGAAGACTGAATCTAACAACTCACCTTCATCTAGTGCCGAGATTAACAAAAGGGTATCTAGACCTCCATTCTCCCTTATGTCTCATGGCATGGGATTTAATTAATTAAGCACAGGGGAAACTTTACAATTTTTATAACAGTAAAAATTATCACTTTTGTATATCATGTATATATAAAAGCGTATTCTCTTTCCAAAAACATAAAAATTAGAATATACAAAAATACAATTTTGCATGTGGTTCTGTATGGGTGTGAAACTTGGTCTCTGACATTAAGGGAGGAACATAGACTGAGGGTATTTGAGAACAGGGTGTTGAGAATATTTGGACCGAAGAGAGATGAAGTGACAGGAGGTTGGAGAAAACTGCATAATGAGGAGCTTCATAATTTGTACTCTTCTCCAAGTATAATTAGAATGAATAAGTCAAGGAGAATGAGGTGGGCAGGGCATGTAGCACGAATGGGGAGAAGAGGAATGCATATAGGATATTGGTGGGAAGGCCAGAAGGAAAGAGACCACTAGGAAGGACAAGACGTAGGTGGGTGGAAAATATTAAAATGGATCCAGAGAGATACGATTGGATGGTTTGAATTGGATTGATCTGGCTCAGGATAGGGATCAGTGGAGGGCTCTTGCGAACACGGTAATGAACCTTCGGGTTCCATTATATCCTGGAAAATTCTTGAATAGCTGCAGATTTGGCTTCTCCTCAAGTAGGGCTTAGCTCCATAAGTAAGTAAGTAAGTAATAAACGTATTTTGAGTAGATTCGAACTAAAAACTCGCAGATGCAAATTTTCCTGGGGGATGTTGAAAATTATGACTCATCTACACCCGACGAGCTACTAGAAGTACTCCTACGACAGTTTCATGAACGTTGCTGATAATGCAGATACTATCAATAAATTTTTTACAGAAGTAAGAAAGACTTCTTGTTATATTACCGTGGAGGCAAACTCACTGCATAGTATCCTTGTGTAAATATTGAATAAATGAATTAACACCTTCCATGTTACTAATGGAATACACCCTTCAGGGGCTTTGGTTTCTCTGCTCGTGCTTTCTTTGTTTGATAGTGTTAGCGAACAGAAATTCCTCCACCATTCCTTGTTCCTATGGACTTACAAATAATTTCATTTCAACTCCAAACTTTCAGACCGAAGACACGGAGAAGAAGTCACTTTTTGTGAAGAGAATGCAAGTACGGAGATGACGTAACACAACTTAATTCTATTAAATTCATCTTACTATTTTTCCTTCATGTCCTATTCTTTCTCTTTTTTTCTATTTCATTCCCTATTTTCCTACTATTCCACTTTCTTCCTTTTCTTTCTCCTTCTTCTTACACCTTACCCTTTTCTTATTCTCTTTCTCATGCAATATCCTTGCCCTTCGCATTTATTCGTCTGCATATGAAAGCATTAGGGGAAAGTCAACATTGAAGGCGATACGTCACATCAAACAAAAAAAAAAAAGAACGCTGGCTTTAGTCAGCAAGCGAACTATACCGACCGAGCGACCTCCGCTTGTCGGCGAGGTTAGTGCTAACTTTAGCGGATAGAGGGTATCGCGTAGTCAGCGTAATAAATCCCCACGGCCATTAATTTCGGGTTTCAATACCGGAACCGCTATTATTCCATTCCAGTAGCTCCTCAGTTATCCTCATGAGGCTGAGTGGACCTCGTTCCAGGCCCACTACTTCTCAGAAAATCTGGTAGCGCCGGGAATCGAACCCACGATTTCTGGATGTTGCCAGGAACTCTGACCACTATACCACAGAGGCGGTCGATACGTAACATCGCCTCAGTTAAAGTACACGTACAATGCATGACTTGCACCTAGTACTGTGGTGTAGTTCTTATGCTCTAGACATAGTCGGGAGGCATTCTCTTTGAATCACATGACTGTGGTGTCTCGTATATTTTTCCTAGTTACTCCATGCAAATGCTGGTTCAGTTCCTTAAAACATGCTTCGAAGTCTCCTTGTAAGTATCTGCTTGCAGTTAATGAGCATATTTACATCTCATTTGTCGCTATACAAATTCTACATATAAATCAATAGCGTTAATAACATAAGAATCAATGACATGAATTGTATTTAGGACATATGTCAGCCGTTTTATTAACTATCCTAATACTGACTTCTTGTGCATTTCTCAGTTCCCCTACACAAGAGTTCTTTTCAATTTATGATCACCCCTTTTTCATGGGGCACACATAGAAGACGAGTGATAAGTAGCTGACAAGTAACAACAAATTCTTTGGTAGCGCAAGCCGAAGCTGAGTACATCATCAGGCACTATTCAATGCCAATTACGTTCACTTTCCATCCTCATGAGCTAATTTCCTAGGCTTTATTTTAATGGTAAACTTCAATTTGTTTCTCGTTCTTCTAAATGGCTGTAATCCAAGAAAGTTTCCCTACAAAAATTCTGTATGCATTTTTGTCTTCAAAGTCCTGACCTTTGTTAGATGAATGTCCAACCCCCAAGCACACAATATCCGCTTTTCGAGACTGTTTATTTAACATATTCATAGCTACCTTCCTTGCATGGTGAGCCGGGGTAGCGCAGTCGGTGCAGCGACTAGCTACGCGTTGGACGACTGAGGGGTCGGAGTTCGAGTCCCGGAAATGTCTAGAATTTTCTCTCCTCCATGTTGTCCAGACAGGCTCTGGGGTCCAACCAACCTCCAATTCAATAGGTACCGAGGGTTCTTTCCCAGGGGGTAAAGCGGACGGTGCGTAAAGCTGACCACTCAACTCCAGCTAGTGCTGAGATCAAGAAAAACGTTGATCTATACAGCGAGTCTCCCATACGTCTTCATGGCGTAGTGCTTAATTCGTTAAGCGCAGTAACAAATTTACCTTTTTTACCATTATTATTATTATAAATTTTGTGTTCCGATGTTGAGTCACTCCTCTTAAGGATAAGTTAATATTGTCCTCTAGCGACGGGAGTGAATGTAACTGTGGAAGGACAAGAGTATCACTGCATCCGTAATAGCCCTCATAGTAGGCGGCAAATATCGCGGTCAGCAGAGGTCACTCACATCTTCTAGTCATTGCTAAAAAAGGAACGCCAAAACTACTACCTGAGCAAGGGCAAAAGAACGGTATTGTTCTCAGTTTCCAGACTTCCTGATAATTATTGCTTCAAAAAATAGTTGCGTGTCTCAGCTTCTAATTATATATTCTCACGAAGGAAGTCACACCCTTACCTGGAAAGGTGTGCATGTCAGAGCATATTCTGCAACTGATAATAGTGCAAGAAGTGCAGGTGCACCGGAATGAGGAACGGGGAGATAGAATCTGATAATATTCAAAACAACCGCGCCATAGCTCAAGCGGTTAGTCGCTGGCTTCCCACCGCGGCGGCCAGGGTTCGATCCCGGGGCTGATCAAGTGGGATTTGTGGAGGAAAAGTGGCGCTTGGGCAGGTTTTCTCCGAGTATTTCGGTTTCCCCTGCCAATCTTCATTCCACCAATTGCTCCACAATCACCCTCACCTATCATCTGGGACTGGTACAATAGGCCAGAAGTGGCCGCAGTACAAGGGACTCAGTCCCACCCCACTAGCAATAAAAAATATTAAAAACATACATATACCTCAGACAATAGTCATTACTTGGCCGATATTATGTTAAAATAAAACGGAAGAAGAATATTTGATATACATTAATTTTAATCAGTGGTCATGTAATATACCTAGAGTTCACAGAAATTTTAAGCTGTGAACTCTGCAAGTCCAGTATTATTTTCAGTACGCGATAAAATTCACAGGATTACAACTCTTGACAAATATTTCAGCACGCGCATAAAGCATCTTTCAGCAATTCGCTTACCACAAGTTATTTGCAATGATTCAACACATCATGAAACATCATCTGTAGCATACACATAGACAAGTTACGTCAATTTCAAATCAGTAATTATGTCAATGGGGGCTCGAGGATGTGTAATGGGTTGAGACACTATGCTACACGCCGGAAGGTCGCGGGATCGAGTCCGAGGAAGTCATTGAATTTTTTCCAATTGACCTAAGCTTTCCAGTTGCAGTAAGACCTTGGGGTCGACTCAGCCTCTAACAGAAATGAGTACCAGGAATCTTCCTGGGGTGTAAAGAGTGGCCGACAACCTTACCGCCATCTGTGAGCCGCTTGTCTATAAAATGTGGGAGCCTCGATGTCTCACATCCCTATGGGCCTTCACGGCCTGTTACAGGGATAGCTTTACCTTAGTTACTACAATAACGACATTTAATACCTCTGCAGATCGATGAGGCGATTTGAATGAAAGCCTTTAAGACACAATCTTCTTCTTGACTGAAACACAATCGCGATTTTTTTCAGTTAGAAAATAAAAAACTTAAGAAGAGTTCTCAAGAAAGTAACAGGCTCCAATACAGTCTGGTTAGCGAAACGTCTTATGCCATGGTAATCATTTTAATCAGGTCTGCAGAATTATATTTGTTACACAACCATAAGTCATATAACATAAATCAGTAATTTAAACTGAAAAAAGTCAATCATCACATATACACTGGAATAAAGGCACTGTTCACTTAAACTGCAGGTTTGATGCAGTTCCAAATGAGATTATATTATTTATGATTAAGAATACGTATATAGTACGAATGTATCTTGTGCGTGCATTCGCCGGAATATACGTAATGAGATAAATCACGAAAACACCCGAACGGGATGGCCGAAAAGTCAGCAATTTTTCAAAATGGACACCTAACGAACATGAGTCTACAGCGTTGCTACTGACATTAGTCTGCATGATGCCTTAAAATCTCAGACCTTTGTACGATAACGTAACTAATTTCATCCGAAGAGCAACAGGATTAAAACAATGCAGAATATTGTCTCTTCAGTTTTCCTTGATATTTCAGAATGAAACAACGAGATAAATAGATTATGAGCTTCTGAGAATGGGACTGCGTAAATACTGAGGCCAGAAAAACAAAGTACGGAGCAGATTTCTTAAGTGGATGAAGTTGATTCTTCTTTTAAGACAAAATTTAGATTATTATTAAGCGAAAATGAAAGCGCCATCAGTTGCTTTTGTGTTCTGCACCAGACGAGAGGTGGAACTCGCCCAAGCACACGTGTACCCACACAAGGTCTGTACGACTTCTCACAGCTGCAGGCGATATGAATCGGTGTGTTACCTTTGGCACACGGATTCTTTCATGAAAAAACGAGAATTTATGATACTCGTCTCTCAGTGGCGTGAGTGGGTTGTACGTAATTTCGAACTTGGCTGACACTGAAGTTCGTAATATGTAGCAACGGTTTCAACGGGCTNTTTCCTAACCTTCTTTCTAAATATATGCGCTTTAACGGGGTGAGTCCCAATCACCCCTTCAGGTAACTGGTTCCAGTCAGCAATGGTCCTGTTCACAAAGGAAAACTTCCCGACATCTGTTCTTATTTTTCTGGCTCTTATTTTCCTAAGGTGATCGACTCTACTCACGTAGTGTGGCGCCTGCAATCTGTCCCCTATATCTTTCCACGCCCTGTCACCGTTATACGCTGTATAAAGTGCGCACATCCGTGCTATCATCCTACGTTGCGCCAAAGATTCCCAGACCGAGCCTCCCGTATAATGGGCTAATTTAGCAGCTTTATTTTGAACGCGGTCTAAAGCAGTGATCTGACATTCCCTGTATGGATCCCAGCACGCCGCCCCATATTCGAGAATGGGACGTACTAGCGACGTGTAGGCTAAACTTTTGGTATTTTTATTAGCCCTTTTTACAATACCCATTACGAAATGTAGTGCCATCTAGGATTTTCGGACCGTGTAATTTACCTGGTCAGTCAAGCTTAAATAACTTCGTATGATAACTCCCAAATATTTGCAAAAGCTAGCTTCAGGAATATTTTGGTCCCTAAGAGAGTAATTTACGGAGAGTTTCATGGAGGTAGGCCTAGGCCCAAATTGGGGCTGTAGCGCCACAGGAAAAAAAATTGAATAATTTAACGGATCCCTCACCCGTGCTCTCGTGAAGCTTATTGCCTTACTTTTATTCGGATTTATTTTCATTTCATTTCTACTGCCCAGTTTCCCAATCTATCCAGATCTGTCTGTAATTTTTCTATATCCTTGCCATTTAATATTTTCCTATATACTATACAGTCATCTGCGAAAAGTCTAATTTTTCATTTAATGTTCCTCCATATATCGTTTACATAAGCTAGGAACAAAAGTGGGCCCAGAACGCTCCCTTGAGGTACACCTGATGTAACTCTAACTCCCTCTGAGTATTGCCTCCCTACTCTAACTCTCTGGGAACGACCTATCAGAAATTCCCTAATCCATACGACTACCCTTGAGTCCACGCCCGATGCCGAAATTTTATTTAGCAGCCGGTCATGAGGAACAACATCAAACGCTTTCGAAAAATCTATTATAATCGCGTCCAGCCTGACTGCTTCTATAATTATATTAATAAAACTTTATCCAAATTCGTTACAAATTTTGAGAACGTAGTAACTACCATTAATGATTGACATTCGAGTAGTATTACGTAGATTCCATGTAGTTGTAGAGAAATTTTGCCTGTGATTCTGCATGGGTCTGAAACTTGGTTTCTGACAATAAAGGAGGAACACAGACTGAGGGTGTTTGAGAATGCAGCGCTGAGGAGAATATCTGGACCGAAGAGAGATGAAGTGGTGGGAATTTGGAGAAAATTGCATAACGAGGAGCTTCATAACTTGTAGTCTTCGCTCAAGTATGATTAGAATTAGAAAGTCAAGGAGGATGAGATCGGCAGGGCATGTAGCACGAATGGGGGGGGAAGAGGACTGCATATAGGTTATTGGCGCGAAAGCCAGAATGAAAGAGACAACAAAGAAGACCAAGACGTATGTGGGTGGATGATATTAAAATTAATCTTAGAGAGAAACAATGGGGGTGCTGTAGATGGGATTGATGTGGCTCAGGATAGGGACAAGTGGAGGACTCTTGTGAACACGGTAATGAACCTTCGGGTTCCATAAAATGCTAGGAAGTTGAGTAGCTGCACAATTGGCGGCTTCTCAAGAAGGGCTCAGCTTCATGAGTGATAAGGGGTAGCGTGACTAATAATTATGGGTTCTAGATTTGTTGATTAGATTTATTGGACGTCTCTATTACAATTGCAGTTGACTATAACAGCTCACACATTGAACTCCTTCTTGATAACGAATCTCTCACTGAATTTCTTCCGGTTCTCGGATTTGTCTCTAGTTTCTAGTCTAGTCTTCTCTCTCTCTCTGTCTGAATCACGTACTGAGCTAGCTTCATGCGGACCGAATATAGAACACCCAGTCGGACAGTCGATTCTTCTGTTATTCTCTGTTACCACGAAACGCGTGTTAATTCGTTGCTGCGGGATCAATGTTTACCTAGCCGTTGTCCAGCAACTGACGTCTCTGTTGTTTTTCATTCACTGTGCACTTCCGGCTTTCAGACGTCATGTCACAATGTTTTGGCTAACATTGCGGGAACCATCTTCAAGGTTAATGCTTTTAGGTTTTGAAAACAGATACATATATAGGCACACATATATATATATATAGACACACACACTCACACACCTGTTTCTTGATGAAATGTTGGAAATTCTTTCCATATTCGACGCGGCGGAAGTCATACAACGAAATCCAGAAGGCAAAATCCAAGGAGAAGAATGTACAAACGGGATCAGCTCCCTAGTTTCGCAGCTAAATTATGTGGACTCCTTCATTGTACGTATTTTTCCTGCAAATTCAGAGACGAATTCTAAACTCTGTGGTGTTATTGGCAGATGTGGGCAGCGAGTGCTGTGGTGGTGTTGGCAGGATCCTGCATCCTAGCTCGACCGTCTGGTCCTGACATCACTGACGAACACCGAGAATCTCGGGCAGCCAGCGGATTCAAGTGAGTTTAGGCGAGGATCGCTTCTCTCCTGACTTATCCCTATCTATGTGCATGCCTAAGAATTTCACTAACAAAATTAACAACTGGGTTGGCGAGGGGTGCATTCTGCTTATTGTCGGTGCTATTATAATCCTCTGTTACTGAGTCTTGTCGCCCAGTTTGATTAAATTTATAATCGATTTTTGTGGCTGTGAAGTATTCAACTTCACTAAGTCCCGAGTGTATACATAGAAAAATACAAGCGTTTTGACTAGATCAGATCAATGTAAGTGTTTACGTTTTTAAATATTATTTGGTTATAATCAGGGCAAGGATTATGATGACATGTAATTTTTTTTCCTTGTATCTTATGCGATGCTCTTAAATATATAAATCTCGGATATGAGCAGCCGGTTACAGAAATGTAAATTTTATATGTAATTTTTTGTCATGTTTTGACATTTTTAAGTTTAAGGACTTTTTTTATTTTTGTGGTAATATTTTGGTAAATTCTTGTAATTTTAAGAGCATTTCTTCTCATTTTTGGCCATTTTAGGGAATTTTTCTTCATATGTTTTCTGAAATGTGAATAATACTCGTATGAAAGCGAAGTGTTCTTTCTTTTCTCCTTTAGGTCATTTTTCTGGATTTTTTCGGTCATTTTTTTTTTAATATTTTCAGGTTATCAAAATCCTGGCCCTGTTTATGATGTTTCGAAAACCAAGTAACAGTACCTTAAACTACGTAAAAGTTAATTCTTAAGTCACTCCATCAAGCACTTCCAAGTGCAAAGGTTATTAGTTTCGAATTATATGGGAAAATGATCATAAATGAAGAACGCGTACGGATTTTAATGGGGGTCATTATGGCCTATCTGAAATCACCATCTCAGCAGTGGCCTGGATATACTGAGGAATGCCACAAAACTCCTATCACGATAGACGCTAATCAGGCTGAGATTCAAACCTGTTACCTCGAGAATATAAGCTTTGAAGGACACTGCTGTAAAGCCAGCTTTGCAAATTTGTGGTAGATCAGCTCGTTTACAAAGGATGTAAGAAAACGGAAAAACCATTCACGATATTACTGTAAAGCCGAAACCGGCTTAAGCCTAATTCGTGGAGTGCAGAACGACTGCGTGTGGCTATCCATACAAGCCTACAATTTAAACTCTCAGAAATAATAACTAATAAGAACAAAAGGAGGACAACAATTGTTAAGAAATCCAGAATTTGGATAAATAACGGAGCAGCGCAGGATAGAGAGGAATGGAGGGGCCTGATAAGGGAGGCCAAGGCCCGACATCGGGCTGTTGCGCCGTAGAAGAAGAAGAATCACCTCAGTATTTAGGGCCTGATATTCAATATCAATATTCGAAGATTCAGAGTTTGATGTCAGAAGCTGGGATTCGGATGGGCAATTGGATTTATTGACCACTTACAGGTCGTAACTACAATTAATTATAACACTTCCAAGATTACTATATTATAACACATAAATACAGTTTTCTATATCTGCTTACAATAGTCGTTTCTAGGTAACAGATCTAAGCAATGGTTATTCCTCTGCAAAGTTGTCCCTATCCGTTTCCTGGCAGGGGATTTTAATACAGGAACTATAACTGCCAGACTCCAGGTATCACTGCACTACAGTACATATACATATGTAAAGTCTTCAAGTTACACGTTAAGTCTTCACAGGCCGACTTCTCATTCTTCTTCTACTATGAACTTCTCGTGGCTGTCTTCTACCGAGAACCGACTCAAAGTGAGATATGGCTTGAATCAGAGCCGATTATCTTCAAGATAACTCCTCTGCACGGACCCCACGGAAAACGCCGTCTTCTTCTGTTGATGCGTGTTTACAGCTTCGTTGTCTGGCAATAGACGTCCTGTTGTTCCGTGCGTTTACTTGGCGCGAACAGCACAGGAAACAGTTTCCCCTATACTGTTGTCACGTTTTTAAGGGGGGGGAGGTTACCGGCCGTCGCATAGAAACGGCAGTTCTTCTATTGTTGCCTGTATTCGTTGCAATGAGCATGTTTACGGATATTCCTCTATTGTTATAGAAACGGCCTATATGTCACAATATAAAACCAGTACAAAAGTAAAAACACATTCAGTACGACAGTTCTTTATCTGAAGCCAGAAATGCCGTCAACTCATGACGCACTATGAATATTAAACGTACACTAAACAGTACTCAACACAATTAATGAACTGGTCACAAAATTATTGAGATTTCACTTCTGAATTATTTCCTATGTTATGTTTAGACAACAAATAAAAAATTATATCCTGAAAATCATGAAGGCTTAAAACTAGCAATATGGATGTTATTCGAGAGGTATAGAGTTAGAATCTGGGACAGAGGACCAGGTTTCATTAGGTAATTCATTTAACTTTTCAATCCCACCAATCTGACATTGTGCGCGCAAAAAGAATATATCGCTATCTAAAAATGGTATATGAGTAAATTTCCGTAATTCAATAAATAAATATTTTGATGGCGTGAAATTTGTAGGCTAAGTCTGAGAACGATTAGGTAGCTATAAAACACACTAGCCCAAATTTTTAAACAAATATATATAATATAATATAATATTTTAAACAAACATTGAGGCATCGCTAATTTCTATAAATTTTAATGCATTATCTCTTCCACTTAGTTTCTATTATAGTCTATATGATGTATACAGAGGGATGTATTTCACGTAAAATACACTTTAATTTCCTTCCACTTCTACTTGTTTAATTTACATGAAGTTCTAAGTAGAATAAAAGAAGACAAGACCCTTACGGAATTAAGTAGTGATAAAATCAAATACATACGCGTCTTCATATGAAGAGGACACTTTGTATCTCTCGCCGTCAAGACTAGAGCCTAGACGACGGAAGAACATTCCTCAACGAATCGCTGTAACAATATTACATCACTGTCTCAGGAAAATGTCCTATTCGGCAGGATTACTAATGAAGATACAGGCTACGAATGTTGGAAAGTTCTTGGAATAAATCTGTTCAGACTGCTAACGGAAATCCTCAACAGTTTTCGCCAAGACGTGTTATGTAATCATGGACTGAAAAGAATGAAGTCCTTGCTACCGAATATTAATACTAGGTAGAGGATAACATAGTTTGAACAGGCTCCTGTGACGATTCTACTTGCTGATGAAGCTATGTTAGTTTTTGAGGTAATAGAAATATCTACCTTAGATTAGTATAGAATAAAATATTATACCTAAATTGTATTTGTTGCTAAATGTCAGTCCACTTATAAATACATGTATAGTATATGAAAGTCCATATAACAGATATATGCTCAAATAGAAGCCCTTTTCTCATAACATTTTAGCATCCACAATTAAAGATTGTTAGCCTAGCGCCGAACTCCCAAACTGGAAGATCTTCGCGGTTTAATGAACATATTTACAACTATTCGTAGTCTCCATATCTGCTCCATATCTTCAGCACATCTCTTCAATTTTTTAAAGACGTGAAGCACAATCTCCCAGTTTAAGGAGGACACAAATTGAAGGTGTCCGAGATCAGAATGCTTAGAGAACCTATGAAAGAGAAAGTTAACAGAAGCATAAAGAAAGGAACTTTATAATCCATACTCCTCAAGGGATATTACTGGGGGCCTTAAGTGAAGATGAATTCGATGCGATGGGCATGTAGCACTCATAGGATGAACACAGAAATCGATAGAATAGTTTAGCTGAAAAGTAAAAGGGAAGAAGTCGCTTAGGATACCAAAGTGGAGAAGGTCGGATAATGTTTGAAGTTAGAAAATGGATTCAACTGACACCAGGTAAGGTCCAATGGCGAATTTTCTGAACATGATCATGAATCTTTGAGTTTAATAAGCGATGGGACTTTCATAACGACCTGNACAGGAACAGTAATATGAAAGTCATATTGATACATTTCAACAAAATGTTGCAAACTGTAATCTAGTAGCTTGAAGGTGTCTGTCTTTCAGACCGTCTGCATGTAGCAACTTAGAACCGTTGAATAAATTTTCATACAATAATTGCCTATTATCAGTAGAATTTTGTTAACACATCCCAAGTTTGATTGAATTCGGAGAAAAATAACGGACATTTTACATGAAAACCTACATGCGTATCTGCAGGTATCAAAGGCGTGTATTGCCAAATATATGCAGGAGCCAAAATTGTTTGAATCAGAAACAGCAGAGAGAATTAAAGCAAGCATTTTGTGTTAAATCAAGTTTTTAACTCAATGTTTCGGTTTCAAAGACAATCGAAGATTTATTTATTTTTAATTATACACGTATTACTCAAGTCTTAGACCTACTATCTCTCTCCAGCATGAATCAATTTGTTGGGGGAAGGGGATAAGGAATGTAGAGACCCGAGATTTTCTCGGAGACATGAATTAATTGTAGAATCTTCTAAGTTTCGCAGCATATCGATATGATAAAACTTACAGACGTATAGCATGATAATCAAAAAATAAACCTATTTAAATTTAATCCGAAAAAATATTTGAAAAACAAAATTGGTCCAGTACAGTAATGTACTGATTTTCGGGTGTTGTATTCAGATATTTCTGACAACCTTCTTACGCTGAACGACATAACAAGCGTCACTATGCAGTAATGCACGTTCATTAACAGAGCTTTAACATATAAAAGGTTAATCAACTCCGTCCAGTGTGACTGATAAAATGTTTTTTTTTTCTTTCTCTCCTTTTTAATATTTAATCCTTGACATGTTTCGGTCAGAGCGACGATCTTCAGAAGGATATATTAATACAAGCGGAAACTACTATGACAATGTGACTGATCTATATCAATACATACATACAATATCTTCACAATGCCATAAATATAAAATCTTGTCTTTTAACAACTACAGCGACGTGCATGAATACATTAAAATATACTTATAAAATGTTATAATTAGTTTACAAGTTTGGTTTAAAAAGATTTTGTTAAAATTTAGAACCAGTTTGGTTCGTATCCTTTATACTGTCTCTCTTTAAAGAAGTTGAAAGATTAAAAAGGAAAGAAAAAAAATTATCAGTCACATTGGACAGAGTTGATTAAGTTTTTATGATATTGCCAGTGTGACGGACGAGGATGAACCAAATCAAATTTTAACATAGTTCGAAAGCAATATTCAATTCGTATTATTAAAAATTAGAAAAGAATATTACAGCGCCTGAAAAAGGGCTGCGTAAGGCTAAGTGAAACTTCAGGCGTCCGAAGTATGGTGGATATAACGACTTGCATTACCAGTTTTCAAGTACGTACGATAAAAATGAATAAATGGAAATGAAGGAGTTGCAGCCTGAAATCACATACAACACTGACGACAAGGAAAGAAAATACAAGAAGAGACTCTTTCTTGAAATTTCTCCGAATTGCTGATCCCGAATCAACTAATCATCCACAGGTGAGTGGACAAAAACATTATAACAAATGTCTTTAAATAATTTCTAACTAAATTAACATACTTTTGTTATTAATTTGTAATTAAATTCTTTAATAACATTGTTATTAATACTTTTCCTACAATCGTGTATGTTTAGGCAAAGTTAAATTGGAGATATCCCGTTTAGGAACAGTACTGCCTTTTGTTCTACCAAGTGCAGTGACAGTGTCGCTTGCTTGTATACGGCAACTTTCGCTATGTCTGTAAATCGGGACCTGATTTCTAGTTGCTATTCAATAATGAGGACCGTGAATATCCAACGAAGAGCATGATTTCCTTTTTCCTTATAACGCTTATGGAAGGGGCAAATTAATTCGCCGATTAATAAGACTCTTAACTGATCGGACGTCCTATTAATAATCGCACATTGCTTATTATAATTAGATTTATATCTCTTTTAACATACTTCAGAAATAACGTGCAGTGTCTATTTTCACACTTCATAAGTTATATATATGTATCTGAAAACCTTGTATGTTGTTAAGAAATCTTAAATTTTTCGCTTTTTATTTTACAATCCAAAGTTCAGTTCGCTACACTTTCATTATTATAACTTACTTAAGTTCATAATTCAAAGTCAGCTTTGTAGTATGAAAGCTCTCTTTAATTTCAGGCTGTCAACTGGAATCAGGCCTCAGGGATATGAAGACAATCGCGGAAATGGTGAACGCAAGACTCCTCTCCATATTACATTCTCCGATGGCAACAGACACGGGCCAGCAGCTAGATCTGAGGAACATCATCAGGAAGAACAATCTGGAGTTGGAGACAGCGGGACGAGGGCACTGAAACATGCTGGACTAACTAAACAAGAACTAGAAAGTTCATTTTTATCAACGGCGCATAATAAGAGAGGAGATGCCGATGCTGGTATAAGAGACGAACATATTCCAATTTCCTTCTCATTAACAAGCGATTTAAACTCTAAGCCCGCAGCAGCCCAAAATGAACAGGATCGCATGGGACTAATTCAGAATGTACATGGAAATAGTCCTGAAGAAAACTCGAGCAGTAGCGATTCAAAATCTAACAACAACTTCGACAAGTCGACGAATACAGATCTGACAAAGATAACGAACAGCGCATTGGAAGATAAAGTAAAACCATTAAACCGCGACGATAATACAACCAAAGAACAAATATTGACACCACAGGGGCACTTACTGAAAATTCAAAATAAGGGGGAATTACAAATGAAGTCTTATTCACAGGCGAGTGATGTCGAAGCTGGGACATCTAGTGGTAGAGCATTGTTAGCCAGCAGCACCAGGCAGTTAATAAATCCTTTCGAGAATCCTATTCTGACATATCTTACCAAACAACAATCACTAGAAGACAGCAACAATTCAGACACTACCTTAAGAAGGAACGAAGCCAACGCACCAGAAAACACCAAAGATAATATATCACAGAACATCAAACGCGAAATATTTCACCAGCAAACTATTATCAACTCGAACCCGTATCTTCGACAATTCATACATCATCAGAATAACGAGCAGAAAACAAACCCTGCGTATTATCAAGTGCAATATCCAATTTCACAGCAACAACAATTTGGTTCATTTCCCAACACACAGTTCTTAACTTACACAACACAATCTGAGTTTCCTGGTAGCATACCGCACAAAGGTGAATTATTTCAGGAACACGATAATCAAAATAAGATCGATTTAGTCCGTGCGGAAGTACCACAATTTTCTAGTAATCCTGAAAGCGGGGGAAATTTTGTAACTACTTTAACTTTATACCCAGCCATTGCATCAGTCATGTACACTACACCCACTGTAGGTTTCACAAGTACGTCCTCAGCCCCATCACCTCCCAGCATCTATCCACCTCAGTCCAATCCTCCGTACATGCAATCCTTTTCCGAATATCCATCTCGCAGTGTCCCTTCGCTTTTGGACTTTCCAAAAACAAGATTTATTTACAACGGACCTCAATATTCTTCCAGAGTACAGTGGCCTTTTGCAGGGTATTTCCCCATCGTAATCAAAGATCCCTTCCTCAGTATGTACAATATGCTCACGAATATGGTAGAATATGGACCAGAAGCCGATGTGTGTAAAAAGACGAAGAGCTTTAGACAAGGGAGGAGCAGATCCTTGTTGTCTGACAATGACGAATCCATAACGAGGTCCGATGAAGTAACCGCCGAAAAGGTCCTAATTATGGAAAATGGAGGATGGAGAGAAACTGGCAAGGATGGAAATCCACTCCAAATGGAAAGAAAGATGCCTGAGGACGTCACGACAGGAGACAAAGAAGAGAACAGAGGCGAGGAGAGGGAAAACAAGGACGACAGCCAGAACACAGAAGTCATAATGGAGACTGGCGGAAAAGGAAATGGTGGTCCATTTATTACGCGGTTGATGGTCAGAAAGGGTGGAGTCTCTATAGCCGGACCAGGGGGCATTGCTACTGCCGGTTCTGGGGGCACGGCTATTGTGGGTCCCGGGGGGATTGCCTACACTAGTCCAAATGGGCTCGCTGTGGTCGGACCTGGAGGAAAGGTAGTGGGTCTTCCCAGTGGCGCCGACCTCTCCCTAGTAGCAAGCAAAGTAACTGCCTCCGACTCCAACAGCGAAGGTTCTACTCCGAGACTTTTAAACATCCCATCAGGTGGCAAAGTTGTTGCGACAGGGCCCGTCGTGTATTTTCATCCTTCTGAGTAACTCTTATACCCAACAGGGGGCAGACGTGTGGTGACGCTCTTTAAATTCCTTTCGTATGATTCCACAAAATTCCGCTAGATAGCAGAATCATACAAACCGGATAGGAGGAGATTCTTTTATGAAGCGAGATGGTGGATATGCTGTCTGGACACACATCTGGATTAATGTATACCACCATTCTACTAACAATTTACACTGAGCGGTGTTACAGATATATCTTTTGGACATGACTCTAGCTATGGAATATATCTACTGATATAAGATGAGTGCTTTCACTTAAAAATATCATAATTTTGACACTTCTTAGTACGATTACTTCAAATAAAATGCGCATTACAAATCAATAAGTTAAACTGTTCCAGGTTCATTCTTTTCGAAGGGAGAGGTTTAAATTATAACAGTAATCCTTCTTGACAATGTGAGGACAGTAGGTTAGTATGCTGGCTGAGAACTTTCTCATACTGATGCTGGCATTATTATAATGTCTTGTTTTTCTCGTGACTTTAAATACAGTAAGTTTTCTCTCTGATTTCTTCATTTTAATCGTTGTAGAATATTAAATACGAGTTATCTGGTTAATGAATTGCAGGTAAATTAGAAAAATAAAAATCGATTCTCTTATTTATATTGGTTATAACCTCAGATATAAAACATTAATGAATAAATTGAATCGACCCAATTTAAATGAACAACGTAAAACGTAGCTACGGTTTCCTTTAAAAAGCTTGGAACATATTGTTTTAAGTTAATTAGTTCGTCTCTGTTACGGCGATGCCAAGGCGTAGGACAAGAGTGGAAAACCTTTGTGTCTCCTGTGTGCCATAATAGAGCGACAAGCAAATTTACCTTCACTTTACGGCCGCACTGAGGCAGATAATGCAAGAGGCTTTGCTTTCAAGTCGCTCTCGGCACTCGTGGCGTGTTTCCTAGGCACCGGGTTATCCTAATATTTATGTACTATGCGGACACTGGTTCGAAACTTGCAAATATTTTTACTGTGGACACTTCTGCTTTCTTGTAAATAAGCAGGTAAAATACAGACATTCTGAGACTAATAACCCGAAACTAGGACCTTCATTACCGTCTTCCAACCTGATCGTCTTCAGAGATATAAGACAGATAACTTTACAGATAAGTTACCGAGCTCAGAGCACAGGTATATTAGGATTTATTAGGTAGGTGAATCTCCTAAAACACAGCTAAAGCGAATACGCGTTAGCTTATGATATTCTTCACGAAGAAGATATTGGAACTATAAGTTATGGACCGGATCGACTGTTTTAAAACAAGAAAGGCTGCTAATATGTAATTTTGTTGATTATTTAAACGTGAAGTTGTACTATAATATCAGGAATTGCTTTCAAAAGTATGCATATGGCATTAAGTAAGATTAAGCTCCATTTCAGATGGTCGCACGAGAAAAGGCTTCGTCTTTGGAAAACCAATATGTCCGACCTCCGACAGGAGCCAGTGAGGAGCGAAACGAATATGTATATGTGGACACAGAACCCGTAAACATGAGTTGTTCGTAGGAATAAAAGCCGAATGAGTTTTAGGCTTGTGTGAAGATGAACTCATTGAGAAAGGAAACTCGGGATATACCAATACAATTTCACAATGAGCCAAAATAAAAAGGGGTCAATAATGGATACACAATTCCAAGCTATGTATTACTACATAGTTTTATTTATTTATTTATTGACTTATTTATGTATCTATCTTTGGTGACGAATGTAATTAAATAATGTTTAATTTATGTAGGCTAATTACATTTTCGAACGTTGTAACATCTCAAAATTGTATTAATAAAGGCAGACATTTTGATTTGAGATAATCATTAAATCGTTTCACTTTTTTTAATGTCCAAAGTAAAGTAAATATTATGTGAAATTCTAGAATCATTATTACCCTGCTTTCCTATTCATAATATATAACCCCTTCTTCCCATATCGTTCGGTCCTTTCTGTATATAGTTATTCGGTACAAGAGGCCAAGTACCACATAATATGTAAAGCTATTTATGCCCATTTCTCTTTCGTCCTTCAGCAGCAAAGTATGTGTTAATGCATAAAACAATCAAATTTTCATGTAGAAAACTTTTGTTTTGTCATTTGGCAATCAAATGTATGTTATTTCACAAAGCATTCAATTTGGAATTTAAAACACTTATCACGATAAGGCACCAAGGCAGTTAATGATACAAAATCTGCATAAATTCACATTATTTCGTGATTATCATCTGAACCTAATATTCGAATGATATTTAAGTGGTTAATGTGCTCTATTATTGTTAACACTATATCTGAGATTTCTTAAAGATGCATGTGTCACATTAATCAGATATACGCAGGTACAAGAATTAAATAGGAGCATATTAAAGATAGGTTATATTTTACCAGAAATACTTAAACAACTTTATAATTTATTAAAATCAACCATCAAAGAAGAGATACTTTGTCTGAAATATATAAGAAGGAACCTTTATCACGCCCTTGTGTTAGAAATTAATAGTTGCTAATAAGGAATTAATTTAAATTATGGGATCCAGGCATATATATAGTGTATATACGTATACAGTGTGTGTATGTATACATAAACCATATATATATTCGAATAATTTTATTGCTTTAGTTTTCACAATTTTTGATCAACACTTTCACCCTGTAACTTTCTGAAAATTCAAGTGCGTTTGCCTCCTTGGATATAATTATAACCATTATAATTAATTAGCCGCATTGTTCATTCATGTCAGGAGATTTGTATTATAATTAAAATTTAAGTTAGTTATGAGTCTTACTTGTTTAGAAACATTTTAAATAAAGTACAATTCTTTATAAAGTTGGGAACACAATTCCTAAATATAAACATGAAAATGTCATGTATTCTCAAGCAAGTATGTATGAATATATACTCATTCATAATTGAACTGTTCTCATACGTACAGATTTCTCTCTTTTCTACCTCGTCTGTGGAGGCGTTGGAATCTTCCCATACTCCGAACAAATGGGATTAATAATTACCTCAATTAGAAATTAAAACATCTCACTTGGAATTTCTACTTTTTTCTTTAAGAAATATTACTGTCTTATGTCGATCGGTATACAAGGGCGGATAAGTGCAATACATCCCATGATACATAAGATACCTCGATTAGAGTTAACTTTTGGCCTAGATATATTCCGAGCTGGAAGAATCAGTGAAAGAATTTCGTTCCCCCATTTCTCAATAGTTAAACGCAAAAGAGTTCGGGAATTTTCCACAATAAAAATTATACGTAACCAAGGAAGTGTAACCTTGGAATATAGCACTTGTACATAAAGCCAATAGGGACGGGGTTAAAATGTGACTTGGAGAAACGGGGAGTGGATGTGATTGCTGGCTTTAATTGCTTCAGGATAATATGCGATGGCTGGCTTTGGTGAGAGCAATGATGGACCTTCAGATACTATAGAAGCAAATAATTTCTTGACAAATTTTCAAGTAATACTTCGTACCATGAAGTCAGTTACTTAAACCTATATATAAATTGCTATTGGTATCCAATACGGGAACTCTTCAGGTGAAATAGCGTTACATAATAGCGTAAGTACCGTCCCACTTGAATGAGAGTAAGAGTTGTGTATTCTGCATAGGTACGAGACTTCGCCGCACCGCTGGGCCTACCTGACATCCACCTTCATCCCCAAGTACATGCGCCGCGACATCACGCCATTGCTACGCCATTCGACTACACCACCCTCATTGCACCTCCCTTCTAACTCATGGTTCCATCACTCGTCAGCTGATCACCATCGTCTCGAGCCTAACAACTACTTAACAGAACACCACCCGTCTTTCGGTTTCGGTCTACCGTTATTCAAGATGTCTCCACCAACTTCAAACTTCTACATGTTCTTCAACGGAAGATTATCTGCACCTAAACCTATTATGAAAGAGAGGAAGGATATGAATACAAGATTTGCGATTGCTCCTAACATGTACAACACTCAGCCTTTATTAAATTCCCTGCCACACGAAAGGCATCATCCCATGCAGAATACTGTGGAAGAAAGCAATGTTCAAAATACTGTACTATTGCAGAGCAGACCCTCACAAAGTGAAGATGTGGAAAGTGAGAACAACGAAGTGGCAGCAGTTTCACGGACTGAAGTCCAGAACAATATACATCAAATTGGAACAACCAATGTGACTTCTCATGTTCTACCGGAAGTGACCCTCAACATCGTCGGAAATACTTATGACGTTATACCAACAGCAGTAATGAACTCACAAGCTGACAAAGAGCATCTAAGTGTGTTACAGAGGACCATGGAATCTGTGCTAGAAAGCAGTAGAGACGAAATAAAACCGAGTGAACAGGGGAAGCCAACGACGCTAATTGTGAAACCGGTAGCTAAAGCCATAGCAGGTGCCAATGGCATTGCAATTGCAGCTCCACTGTCCCGAGCTGTGGTGCGAAAAGGTCAGGAAGTGAAAATTCACTTTGACCCTGAAGCCGTCGCCGTGGTTGGTCCTGGAGGCTTTGCTGATGCCCATTCTGACCTTTTGGTCTCATATTACGAAGACCTTCCTTCTCAGGAAAATGAATAACGTAGTGTGGGAGAAGAGGAGAATTAACCATCTAATCTTTTTTTGGAGAATTGAATAACCATAATAATTAAAGTATTCTTCACTAACTATACCTCCGTCCACAATGCAACTTAATTATGTTCTCCTCTACTTTTCACTTTCACAACCGTATATGACTTACATACACGGAACAACAACAGCACCCCCACCAGCACACAGGCAGGGGGCCTACATGATAACTACATCAATATTTCGATAGCTACACACACTAATGCCTCGGCGAGAGTATTCCAAACAAAGAAAATCTACACAATGGTGTCTGGATAAAGAGACGACAGCCCCCAAGAAAAACATTGATAATTTTTAACTAAATTTTAACTAGACTTTATTCATTTGTATTGATTTTAATGGAGTTAAGTATTTTAAATTAGGATATATCGCATCCTTATGTGATAGAGGAAGTGGGGTACACCACAGAGTGAAACAATTTTTGGCAAAAGCCACCTGATGATGGCCACATACCGCCGAAACATATTGTGAAAGTGAAAAGGAGGAGGAGGAAATAAGTAAGTTGCATTGTGGAAGGAAGTGTGGTGTGTGAAGAATATATCAACGAAACAGGATGCTTAAATGCAATATAATTAAAGTAAATATATAATTATATTTATGATCCTTTGTACAGAATTAGACAATTCTAGGAGATCGTAGAATGACAAGGGTAACCAGGGGTGTCGCTAGGCTGAATGAGTGGGTTCTGATACAGGGGGAATGGAAACATAAATTAGCTTTGCAGAAAGTTAAATGGTTCAATTTAACCTTCCACGGCAGGCTTAAACTTTTTCTGATAAAGAACTTTATAATATATGAGTTTAATGTATCCATTTTCTCTTCAGAAGTTATCGCACTCCAGTTTATGTATGTTTGCTGATATAGTTACACCCCTGATGAAATAGTTGTCATTGGTTTCGGGTACATAATGTGCAATAGTTCTCAACTATTTAAAAGAAAAACAATAAAATGAAAGTTATTGATCTCTGTATGTTTCGTTATTCATACATAGAACCTACCTCAGTACAATAAACTTCCTTTTGCTATTTCAAATTGATTAATAATAAAGACTCTCCGGAAGTAACGTTTATATAAAGGGGGAAAGAAACAAGAAACAAAAAACTCCGTGGTTTTAGTCCGCAAGCGAACTATACCGACCGACACCCTCTATCCGCTTAAAATTGGCACTAACTTCGCCGAAAAGTGGCGGTAGCTCGGTCGGTTATATAGACAAAACTGAATGCAATAATTTTGCTATATTTTTTAATTTTTGTGCAATTCTACCGGTTTGTCTTACTGAAGATGCTCTTGTGAATACATAATTTCATTGTAAAACATAAGATTAATATGCGCAGGAGTCTACAAATATTGTATCAGCTCATTAGTGAAACACACATTCTGCCCCCAGATATTTCTCCACAACAGGCAAATATAATTCCTATGTACCAGCTTTCTTACCGCCACGTAACATACAGTACACAGAATGGAGTCCTTGATATTATAAAATGTATGTACAACGAATCATTCACTATTCAGATTTACTATTCTGCGTACATAGAGAAATAGAAACGAGAGTGGGAATTAATATTCATTAATTCATTTTCTGACGTCAAGTATGAGCAGTCTAGTGGACTTGCTGAGCGCTCAATATTATATGTAAAAAGGTTTTACACTAGGATATATTCAATTAAATTTTACTACACCAAACTACCTACACTCGTACACAGAATTTTACAAATTTTGAAGTAATACTCAAACTGACATAACACTCAGGACAGTGAATTTTGTTTAATAACATTAGGCTTTAACAAGCAGTTATTTTTACTTATAAATATACAAAATTTCGAAGATACTTTTTAACCCCATATTATTTATATTTACATAAAATCAGGGGTTCCTATATTCGACAATGCATCTCTCTCACTGTACTTGTTGTGAAAGAAAACGAAATGTGAGGTTATGTTAACAATTTATAATAAATATAATTTTAAAATCTATTATAATATTCTAAAGCGGCTAATATTTTAGACCGGCTCTGGGGCCCACCCAGCCTCCTATTCAATGGGTACCGGGGGCTCTTTCCCTAGGGGTAAAGCGGCCTGGGCCTTGCGACGAGCTGATCACCCGCCCAAGGAGTCCTACCGAATGTGTAAGATCTAGAAAAACCGAAGACGGAGAAGTTCATGAAGGTAGGCCTAGGCCCACTGGGGCTGTAGCGCCAAGGACGAAGAAGACGAATAAAGCGGCCTGGATGTGAAGCTCACCACTAACTT